GTTAAGGTTGCAGCATATTTAAAAGACCTTATGTTTCAACATAGCTCCATGTTAAAGTTGTTGCATATTCATGCAGCATTAAGGTTCAACTTAGAGCTATTTTAACCAACCTTAATGCAATTTCACACGATATTATGGTTCAAATTATCACCATGATAAGGTTTCCGCAAATTCCCACGATACTAATGTTCAATTGCTGCCATGTTACGTACCTTCAAATTCGCATGATGTTATGGTGCGACTTAGCACCATGTCAAATCTGCGGCATAATCGCAAGATTTTTTGTTTCAATTTATCACCAAATTCAGGTATCAGCATAAATAAGCAAATAAGGTCTGCATAGTATTATGGCTCAACAAACTCCAAGTTGTTTAACAGTATACTTTTTTTTCTTTACTTTTTCATCATAGTTTTTTTTTTAAATTTTATCTTACTTAACAGTTATGAATATTTAGGAGGTTCACACTTTTGACTGTTCTCCTGCCTACACTATTGGGGCAATACTCCTCTGATTTTTTTTAACCGTCGTTGAACAGCCAACCCAATTTTTGGGTTTCTAATGTTCAACTCCGTAGCCTTGTAGTTTTCAACCCAATCCCGAAGGCAAGGGAACTCCTGAATCAAGTATTGGGAAAAATTTGCCTTCGCGGAGGACTATTTGATGGAACTAACCCTCATTTGCGTTACATGGAGAGGAAGACCACGAGAACCTCCCACGGTTAGCCTGACGGCAAGGGGACTCTAACCCATGATCCGTCTACCACTGAGGATATTTCACGTCAACATTGTACTTGATGCAAGCCAGAGGCGGAATTCGTATCGACCAGCCATCGCTGGGATCGGACCCCGGTTCACCTGCTTGGAAGGCGAACGCTCTATCCCCTGAGCCATCACGTCTCATACTTTTCAGATTGCTCAGATTACTGATTTCTTTCATATCTTGCATGTCAAGAATTCAAATTCGTCGAAAGAAAGTCATCATTATTCCGAGAAAGTAGGTTTTTGTGCCTGATTTCGGAACATAAAATATTTTCTGTACGAATTACAAATCATATTTCAATTTAGCTCCTTGAAATATTAAGTTTTTCTTCAAGCAAACTTGAAAATAAAATACTGAATTTAAATTCAATCATTAGATCAACAATTAATCAGGTCTTCTCATTTTTATATTACGTAATGTACATATTCACATTTCTAGCAATTAATATGTTAACAAAATTCTAACTCTGATTAAAAATAAGATTATTGGAAGTTTTAAACAAAATCGCCAAAAACAACAGAAGCAACACTGAGGAAAAAGTATGTTTCAAACTACAAAAATATGTTGTAAAATTCGATTGTTTCTGACGGTTTTAACGGGTACACCAAAAAGCTCAGTAATTTTTAACGAAGCGCTTTGGTAATGATTTTGGGAAAAGAAAAATAAAATATGTTTTTATAATGTGTGATAAAATTGGGAAATTTTATCACGATACATTAGAGTATAGCATAAAAATCATTCATTTGGTGAATTTTTCAATTTTGTATTTTTACTACAAGTGTGGCAATAAAAATTATAATTTTGAAGAAAAAAAATCAGACTACTTTCATTCTTAAATTTACAGTAATAATAAAAAATTACTGTAGAGACTACACCGATATTCTTGTAATATTCACCCTAAAAGTGTCATGCCTTTATTGCAACTGAAGTAACATACGTCACATTTGCATTTACTTCATTTGATTTAATTTATTTTATTCCAAAAAAATTTACTTATAACGTCTTTTTAACTTTGTGCATAATATTTTACCCTTATTACAAAGAAAATGAAATGACATTTTAGAAAGAAAAAGTTAATATTTGACTTGACAAAATGCTTGAGCAAGGTAAAGAAATGGTACATGTTTTTCGATTCTCAACATATAATAATGATTTTAGAAGCCTAGCAGGACTTTTAGAGGTGTCTTTTCTTTAGGAAATAAATTTCTCCAGAAAATTTCATTCTCAAGTCATAGGTCTCCGCATGCGCATCATCTGATTATTCCGCGAAAAGCTCTTTTCGAACAAGCAGTGTCAAAACAATTCCCGATTCAACTGAAGCAGAAAGACTGCCACTGACGGCGAGGAGTTGAGTTGTATTAATCCTGCTGCATCGCATGAACCTTTTTTCTTCATTTTCTGTCGCTCTTGCTAGTTCGAGTCTCTTTTTCTTCGCCAAAAAGAATCACCCGAGGCACCTAGCAGTAAAAATAACAACTGCATGATGGGAGGAAAAAAAGAATTCCAAAAGCGATCAAAAATATCGTGTGAAACTGACGCCTGTTTTGTGAGAATGAGACAACTTTTTTTTTTACTTCTATATCACGCCTGAATGTTATTTTGTTTCTAATATCGTATTTTTGGGTCTCAAAAAAGATTGGGCGTCAGCCGCTACTCGTCCTAAGGGCTTGAAGAAAAAGAGTCAAACTTGCATAAGTGAAGACGATAAAAAATTTATCTTTCCGAAATCGTCCAAAAAAAAGTAAATTTTAAATTGCTTCGCCGATATTTCATTTCTATGTTTCCTGATCAAATTAATTAAATTTTATTTCAATCTATCCGTCGGAATAAATATATCTTTATGTTTTATGAATGTACTTTTCAACAAAACATATTAAACCAATTATATTTTGATCTATAATATTTTACCTATTTAATGTTTGAAACAAGTAAATTGCATTAAAATGTTGCTTGCTGAAATTTTCCGAATATAAGAACATCAAATGTTTCTTCTTTAGGGTAATTTCTTTCGAAAATACCACAAAATCAAGTTCACAAAACATGCATTTAAAGGCGTTACACCAAAACTTAACGTACTACAGCTACTGATGACTGAAAGTTTGACCAAGGAGGAATTTAAAAGCTAGAGTATTTTAATAGATTATGCAGAGAATTAAAATCTGGGGAAAAATTTAGCTGAAATTTAAATAATTTTTTTTTAAATCATAAGAATGTGAAATAGCTATCCTTGTATTGTTCAGATTTCTCAAAAAATTAGTTGGAAAATGCACTTAAAATATCAGAAACATTATTTTCCGCAAAAAACACCTGGCACTATTTACGATGTTGATATTTATTACATTGGTGATAATATATAAATATAAAAATGCATACCATCTTTGTATTTCTCTTATTGTAAACACAGTCTACTTATTGCAAATAAAATTATAATACATTTAATTAGGAATTTAACCATTAGCATTTCCTGAATTTCAGATAAAAGCTTTTAATTACAATTAAAACTATGATATATTCATTCAGGATTTGGATTTCCCTCATATGCAAATAAAAGTTCTCAGTTACAATTAAACCTATTATACATTCACTCAAGAATTTAAGTTTTGAATTTTTTTGCATTGTAAACAAAGCCTACTAATTACAAGTAAAACTATGATACATTCACTTCGGAATTTAAGCTTTGTAGTTTTTGCATTGCAAATAAAGGCTCCTACTTACAATTGAAACTATGATGCATTCTTTTAAGAATTTCAGCTTTGTATTTCCCGCATTGTAAAAAAAGATTTCTAATTATTAAAACTATGATACATTCACAAAGGGAATTAAGCTTTGTATTCCTTACATTGAAAATAAAGGTTCCTAACTACAATCAAAACTATGATACAATCACTTAAGAACTTCAGGTTCGTATTTCCCGTATTGCAAATAAATGTTCCTAGACATAATTAAAACTATGATACATTCGATTAGGAATTTCAGCTTTGAATATCCTGCATTGCAAATGAAAGATGCTAATTAAAATTTAAACTATGACAATGCTTTTTTTATTGATTTCAGCCTCACATTTCTTGCATTGCAAATAAAGGCTTCTAAACAAAATCAAAACTATCATTCATTCACTTAGGAGTATTAGCTTTGCATTTCTTTGATTCATTTTTCAAAGAAAAATAGTCATTTGTGAGAAAGGAAATATTTTCTTGTATTTTGTCTTCTAAACGATAAGAACTGTTCTTACTCCCAGACAACGAAGTTTTCTTGGTCACTGAGTATGAACTTTCTAAAAGCTTTTACAAGAGATAAAAGGGCGCAAATAAAGAAAAATGATACTTCAAACTTGATAATACAACAAAGTTATGTGCTTCTTGGCGGACTTTCTGTAAGCCAAATACTATTGTATTTTTATCTTGACCTATAGTTGATTTATATTTGTCCATTTTTAGCCACTTTGCGTAAGAGAGAAATCAGAATACGTGTGATTTTTCGTGGAACAATTTTATACGTAAACACGTAAAGATCAAATATTTTTAACTGGAGAAAATAATAATAATATTTACTATTTCAAATATATTTATTTTGGTTGTTTCTAAAAAAGTTTTATTTTTTCGGTACTGAAATATCTTTTTTACTTATGCATTAAATGATTGACTATGTATAGGACATATTATTGTGAAAAATTAGTCCATAACATTTGAATAACCGCATAAAATATAATTCCTTTTAATTTAGAAATATTTTGAACATTAATAACAATTTGATACGCAAAAACAAGTAGACAAAATAGTTCTAGCAGGTAGGTAGATAGGTATTTTATTTACGTCACACTAGGCTTACGTTGCGCAATGGGCTATTGGCGACGGTCCGGGAAACATCCTTGAGGATGATCCGTAGATATACCATTACAAATTTGATCCTCTGCAGAGCAATTAATTTCACCATAATCTGGTAGTTTTAACTTTACATTTTTCAGTTTATTATGCCTATTTCTTGCCTCTATTTTAGCTTTATTCATATTTTTGTGTTTTATTTTATAGTTAAACATATATTTTACAGTTAGTTGCACAAGTAAAAATTACTTAGGTTTTTAAGGATGTTCTGAATAATTGTTCGAAAAATTCATCAACATATTTGATTAAACTAAATATTATAATGAGCTATTAATAATTGCATTAGTTAATAAAATTTTATTTATTTGTGCTGGTATAAGTGTATCATAGTAACTAATTATATAATTTTTGTTTTTTAGAAAAACTTGAAAAAATATGTTTGCAGAGATTTTGTTAGCTGTTGCTTTAGCGGCTACTGAAATTTCTGGTAAGTGTGAAAAAAGTATTAACCATTTGAAATTTGCTTATAGGCAAGTTAAAAAACAGTAACCGCCTCTATTTTGTTAGTGTTAAATAATTATTAGGTAGGTTTCACACTTTTACTTTGCACAATCGATACGAATATTATGGAAGTAAAATTTCTCCCATCGAAATTTTATAATTAAAATAAATATATTTTACAAAGGACCCAAAAAAATGTATAATTAAAATAAATATATTCTATAAAAGAACGAAAAAATTTATAATTAAAATAAATGTATTCTATAACAAAGAGAAAAAAATTATAATTAAAATAAATATATTCTATAATTTTTAATAACGAAAACATATTTAGTTTCTGATTAAACTAGTGTAACTAGATAACCATAATTCTAAATTAAGACCAATGACATTTATTTTTGCAATAAATCAACCATTTGTTGGGAAAATCACATGATTTATTTCAACATTTTGTAATAACGAATCCAGCATCTTAATTTTGCGTCTACAGTCTTCTTGATCGATCTGAAACATGACCATGTTAATAACTCAAATTAACAACATTTAAGCTAAGAACAGCTTCCTTGTAGCTTTGTACAAGCATGCCAACAAAACGTAACGATGCTTAAGGTCTACAAATACTCGAGCGTGAGCAGTTACTTCAAATCTTATGTGAGGCGTCTTACCTATGGCATACGGAATTTAAAGTAAATTTGCAAAATCTCACTATTTAGTTATGTCTTATTCTAACATATACGTGCGGCTTAATCGAAACATTTCCGAAACTGTCCTGATACGTTTAGAATCTTTCCCGTACGGCAAGTCATTAATATTTTTAAGAAAAAAAAATTTATATCCTAGTATTTAATATATATATATATATATATATATATTTAAAATAATAAGTCAAAGTAGAAAAGCGCTTAATGCAGTTAAATCCGAATTTGTTTTATATTAATTTATAAAGTTAGAAAAACAATTCTAGCAGAAAACAAAAATTATGAAAAATTTTTAACATATGTGTGATTAAGCAGGTGGTGTGTCCCCTGATGAAGTGCTGTCCTGCTGACACACATATCTTAAAAAATTTCAAAATGTCGAAAAAACATGGCAAATTTACAGAACAATAAAGAAAGGGAAAGAGAAAAATAATAAAATGATACAATCTTTTCATCAGCTCACACGATTATATCCGCAAAAAGGAGTGCTTTCTAATAGTGTATCAATATAGCCAAAGCAAAATATATCAAAACAAGAGTGTGTTATATTTAGCTTTGTAT